ATATCCTAGGCCATCGTCTACCACACCGACTATAATGTGTGTATCTAAAATCTTGTGTACGTCGTATCCTAGGTCATCGTCTACTACACGGACTATAATGTGTGTATCTAAAACCTTGAGTACACCATATCCTAGGCCATCGTCTATCACACTGACTAACAAGTGTCTATCTAAAACCTCGATTATGTCGTACGGCAGTGTCTACCACACTGACTATATTGAGTGTATCTAAAACTTTGGGTACGTCATATCCTATGTCATCGTCTACCACACTGACTATAATGTGTGTATCTAAAAACTTGCGTATATCATATCCTTGGTCATCGTCTACCACACTGACTATAATGTGTGTATCTATAACCTTGAGTACGTCGTATCCTAGGTCATCGTCTACCACACTGGCTATAATGTGTGTATCTAAAACCTTGAGTATGTTGTATCCTATGTCATCGTCTACCACACTGGCTATAATGTGTGTATCTAAAACCTTGAGTATGTTGTATCCTATGTCATCGTCCACCACACTGACTATAATGTGTGTATCTAAAACTTTGAGTACGCCATATCCATGTCATCGTCTACCACACTGGCTATAATGTGTGTATCTAAAACCTTGAGTATGTTGTATCCTATGTCATCGTCTACCAAACTGACTATAATGTGTGTATCTATAACCTTGAGTATGCTTGTATCCTATGTCATTGTCTACCACACTGACTATAATGTGTCTATCTAAAACCTTGAGTATGTCATATGCTAGGTCATCGTCTACCACACTGGCTAAAATGTGTGTATCTAAAACCTTAAGTACATGTATGCTAGGTTATCGTCTACCACACTCCATGTAATGTGTGTATCTAAAACCTTGAGTACGTCATATCCTAGGTCATCGTCTACCACACTGTCTATAATGTTTGTATCTAAAACCTTGAGTAAGTTTTATTCTATGTCATTGCCTACCACACTGGCTATAATGTGTGTATCTAAAACCTTGAGTACGCCGTATCCTAGATCATCGTCTACTACACTGAATATATTGTGTGTATCTAAAACCTTGAGTATCTCGTATCCTATGTCACTATCTACCACACTGACTATAATGTATGTATGTAAAACCTTGAGTACGTCATATCCTATGTCATCGTCTACCGCACTGACTATAATGTGTGTATCTAAAAACTTGAGTACGTCGTATCCAAAGTTATCGTCTACCACACTGACTATAATGTGTGTATCTAAAACCTTGAGTACGTCGTATACTATGTCATCGTCTACCACACTGACTATAATGTGAGGATCTAAAATCATGAGTATGTTGTTTCCTATGACATCGACTACAACACTGGCTGTAATGTGTGTATCTAAAACCTTGAGTATGTCGTATACTATGTCATCGTCTACCACACTGACTATAATGTGAGGATCTAAAATCTTGAGTATGCCGTATCCAATGACATCAACTACAACACTGGCTATAATCTGTGTGTCTATAAACTTGAGTATGTTGTATCCTAGGTCATCGTCTACCACACTGACTATAATGTGTGTATCCAAAACCTTGAGTACCTTGTATCCTTGGTCATCGTCTACTACCCTGACTATAATGTGTGTATCTAAAACCTTGAGTACGCCATATCCTAGGCCATCGTCTAACACGGACTATAATGTGTGTATCTAAAACCTTGATTATGTTGTATGACAGTGACTACCACACTGGCTATAATATTTGTATCTAAAACCTTGAGTACATTTGTATATT